CAGATCTATGATTATGATCAGCTGGAATAATCGCCACAGACGCGGGGCATTACTCCCGGAAAACGCTGCCGTTTTGGTGATTACTGCTCCAAATCACCCCCTTACAAAAGAGGGAAACTAGCCCCGAGTAATTTAATTATGAGTTAATACTCAAACGGTGTTTAGTGGTTTTTCTTAATTTCGTTCTAAACGATTTTGGTGACTTAATATGGTCTCAGACTTTTGTGTTTCACTCAATTTAGTCTTTCTTTTGTTATTTTGTCAAATTGATGTTAAATAAAGGGACAATTCAATAATATCAATATTGACATCTCTTTACTTTCAACCTGCAAAGTGAGAAATCCATCTTTCTTGTACGAATTACACTCAAAATTACTCCCAGACCTACGAATCAAATTTTATATTCGCAAGTTTAGGAGTAATTCTGGGAGTAATTCGTAAAAAAAGAGGGATTTCGCACTTTACATATCTATGAATAAAGAGATGCCAATATTAAAATTACTGAATTGTCTATTTATTTAACAACAAATGGACGGGATAACAAATGAGGGACTAAATTGAGCAAAACACAAAAGTCTGGGACTAAATTGAGTAAAAACACAAAATTCTGGGACTACATTAAGTCACTAAAGTCGTTTATGACAAAATTGAGAAAAACCACTATAGTCGAGGACAATTTTAGGTATTAACTCTTTAACTAAATGGATGGAACATAATTTTCGTATCTGAATGTCACGAATTTTATATTTGTCAACATTCTTTTAATTAAGTCTATAGTACAAGGTCTCCCCGTAGAACCTTCTTAATGAGATTTACCTAGTTCGCGCTTTTGAATAGTGAATGTGATTTCACTTGTTACAAATTTTTATAAATTTTTAAATAATAGACTTTTATAGATTTTAGAAAATAGTGGCAAATAAATCATTAAACTTATTAGAAAATAGTGGCAAATAAATCATTAAACTTATTACATTTGTTCAAATAAGTTATCAGACTAAAAACATGTGCAATTAGATATGAAACAATTAAAAATGTGCAATTATATTTTTGTTCAATTTAGTTCTTGTACTTTAAAAAGTGGTACAATTAATGACAATAGTCTTTGGTGTTGATATTACCATTACCTTAGTTAATTTTTGTAATCAATATATTACATTAATATGTCTAAAATAAATATATTTTTTTTAAACACTCAAGGTTGTATCTGTTCTATCAGAGGTGTAATCATACTACATAATAGTTGGCAAAATAAATACGGAGTACTTAAATACATGTTTATATTGAGCTTTGAACACTAAACCTTTTGAGTGAAAAAAAAAAAAAAAAAAAACAAAACAAAAAAAAAAAAAAACAAAAAACTATCAATTACTAATTTACTATACAACTTATCTTGTTTCTAAAAGAAAAGAAAAAAAAAAACTACAACTTATCTTGTTATTCTATTGCAAAGTATAATTAAATACCATTATAAAATGAGATATATAGAAAATTTTAGTTGTATTAAGAAGTTTTATAAGAAAAAAGAATATATTGATATTGATGCGGTTATAGGCTCCCGATGGCTTTTGTATTGGGAAGATCTTGGCTTAATGGGCTTCATTTTTATTGGTGAGGTTTTGGATCGAAGAATAAAAGTCTCCGGTGGGTTAGGAAGGAAGGAAGCATGGTAACTCAAAAGGAAGGAGCAAAATGTTAAAAAGGTGCAGCCAACCAATCAAGCTATCTCAATCCTTGTGTACCAAAGGGTAGGAAACTCTAATCTACTTATTCACGTGAAGTGCGCTAGAAAAAAAAAAAAAAAGAAAAAAAAGTAGTGGGGTGAAAAATGGGATGCGTGGACGATTAGATGGAGGGCAACTAATCCACACATTTGTCACTCCAGTGGCGGAGCTAGGATCCAAATTCAGTGGTGTCAATATATTACTCTCGATAATATAGAAATAGAAATATAAGTTATATTTATAAATAAATTTCTTCATTTTACAATTGTCCACGACGCGTTTTCATACTTTGAAAATGTTGTATAATTTTTTTCTTTATCAACAACGTTTTCAAACACATCCCTTTCAATAAAAATAATCAAACAAGTACAGAAACCCATTGTTCTGTATGCTAAAAAAACTAATGGATATACACTTTTTTTCTTTGTCTCCACTAGTTTTTCAACAAGAGAGAACCAACGTACGTAACCTCTTGGAAATCGGAATATGCAGAGTTAGAGTGAACATCAAGGATATTATAATGTTTACAAGAAGCCCCAACAACATTTAGCAAAGTACCAAAGTTTTGAAAAAGAAAAGCAACGCAAAAAATGTCTAAGTTTTGAACTCAACTTTGAAACTCCATAGCTATACAAGAAGAGAGAAAAAGTTATTTGAAAAAAATATAGAACTTTTTCAATTCTCTATTTATACTCTTGCTCTGGTTTGCATTTTTGGTTCTCATGAAATAAAAAGTATATATATATATATATATATATATATATATATATATATATATATATATATAATAAACAATAAAATTTGAGTGTTGTCAATTGGCCCCACTCAAACTCTCAAAGCCCATAGGCCATAGCTCAGCCACGGGGTAAATTATATCGTGCACCGCTGTGCATAATGGATTATGCACCGAGCTTTTAAACGATGTCATTTTGTTTAATGAAAAGAAACGACACCCGTTTAGCACCGTTCCGCAAAAAGTAACTCTGTTATTCAGTTTCATTTTGTATACACTGCAGTTTCATTTAAATACAACTGCAGTTTCATTTCGATATAACTACAATTTCATTCGATATTTATACACTCAAATATGTGAAAATGTTATTTAATTTTATTTTATATACACTATAATTTCATTAACACACAACTACATTATCATTTTGATATAACTACAGTTTCATTGCACAATATACACTCAAATATGTGAAATGTTGTTCAGTTTCATTTTATATACATTGTAGTTTCCTTTGATAATATAAAAATAATACGTGAGGCAATATCAGTTTAGATACACTGTAGTTTTAGTTAGTAATTAATACACCAAACATGCGCGCTCTGGTAACTGTAACGATGCGCCGTTTCTTTACTTAAAGAAACGGTGCTGTTTTTGGACCGAGATCCACAGTATAATTGCTGCAGCCACGGTGTCACTCTATGAAGTAGGTTCCGCCTTACACAATAAATAGGACGTCTTGCCTCTCATAAAGATATCATGGTCTTAACCTTACATCTCTTAGTTCACTATAATCATCCTAGTCTAATGGTATGTGGTTGTTCCCCGTTGGCCGGGTTGAACTCCTGCTCAATTTGAAACGTGGCATTGTGACTTACCATGGAGAGATGTCTATATACTTATCACCAATTTGTTTTATGTAGGATATGACAACTAGATAGTCAAAATACTTGTGGTTAAAGCGGTGAGATCCAACAGTAGTCCGACTCCTGACTTCCAATTGAGATTAAAAAAAAAAAAATTAAATACTATTATCAATTTGTCAAATTTGTTATTAGCAGATCAGATTGGATTGAATCCACACCCCTGGTGGATATAGGGACGGAGGCAGAGGGGGGGGCAGACCCCCACCCCATATAATATGTATATGTATATATAGTATATGTTTTAATATTAGTATAAAAAAACTAGTAAATGTTAACAAGTAAGGAGTTAGATTAGTTGGAAGAGCATATTTGTGGTAATTGGTAAGGTCTTGGGTTCAAAACTTTGCATTAGCATATTTTGTCCTTCCCAAGCCCTATGGCTTTAACACATTTACTTTTTTTAATATTTAATACACACACACACACACACACACACACACACACACACACACATATATATATATATATATATATAACATTCTTTTATATTAATAGTGATATGTATAATTTATAATGTGTTTTCTATTCAAATTATTTTATTAAATTACAATTATATTTCTTAAGTAATGGTTATAAAAAAAAAAAAAAAAATCTTAGGTAATTTATTTTTTTTTTAAATTATATCTTTTGTTTTAATGTTTTGCTTTTACTGAAAAAAATTTATGAATCCGTCCTTCGCCCCCCTCAATCGAATTTCTGGCTCCGTCCTTGGGCGGATACAAATGCTGATAAAATTCATCTTCAGCGGATTGAATTCAGATTAACTCCAAATCCGTTTCACGCTAACCCTACCAGAAACTTAAAAAGTAGAAAAATAGAAGGGGAGAATCCTTAGGCAATTAAAACGTATCAACCATGGAGGTACCAACTTTCTATTCTCTAGTGTTCTTCCAAAAATAAGCTGAGTAACTAAGTACATAAAACTTGCACTAACAGAGGGTATTTACAAAAAATTTAAAAAAAAAAAAAAAAAAAAAAAAAAGTATTTGAGTATGAAGATCAGAAGATTGTTATCAAAAGTTGGAAAAAAAAAATACTTTGCAAGACAAAGAATGAAAGCTAAGAGAGAAACACTATTCAAATGAGTGGATTTTCAGTGCTTTCTGGGCTGAGCTTAAGCTGAAAAATGCATGATCCTGTAGAAACATCCTTCAATGCCGCCATGGAATTCACATTCCAATACTCCCCAGTAGTACTCTTCATCTCTTCCCCATAAACCCAGTACTTCTCCTCTTCTCCTCTATTGTAGTGCTCGTGATGGGCCCCACCACCACCCCCCTCCGAGCATGAAACCGATACCTTTCTCCAATTGCACCACATCCTCAGCATCATATATATCAGACCCATACATATGATAGTGGCCGTGAACACAATGGCCACTATGATCCCAGCAACAGCTACATCAGATGGCTCCCATTTCTTATGCTGTCCCCTTGATTCTGAGCAAGATTCCAGTGGTGGGCCACACAGCCTAAGATTCCCCCCCAAGAATGAGGCTAATGGGAATCTCGCGAAAGTTTCGGGGAGCTGTCCTTGGAGGTGGTTATATGAGAGGTTTAGGTTGTGGAGACTGGAGAGTTTCTCAAGGGATTGTGGGATTTCCCCATGGAGTTGATTGGAAGAGAGGTTTAGCCTCTCTAGCTTCAAAAGGGTCCCCAATGATGGTGGGATTTCGCCCGAGAGATTGTTGTTGCTCAAGTCCAGTATCACTTGTAGCTCTGTGAGTGACCCGAGCCCGAGGGGGATCGAGCCATTCAGGTTGTTCTGGGATAGTCTCAGCTCGTATAATTTGGTGCATTGTTGAAGGGATGACGGGATAGGGCCGGAGAGATGGTTGGCGTGGAGATCCAGGACATATAGAGAAGTGAGGTTCCCGAGTTCGGGTGGGATTGGACCGGATAATCGGTTGCTATGGAGGGAAAGCTTGAGCAATGTCGAGCATTTCCCGAGCTCTGAAGGGACTGTTCCATTGAAGTTATTGGATGACAGGTATAGCTCCCCGAGCTCTTGTAGATTCCCTAACCATTCGGGTATTCCCCCCGCGAATTGGTTGTTGTTGAGGAGGAGGTGGCGAAGCTCTTTTAGGCCCGAGAGCTCGGACCCCACCTCCCCGGTCAGCTCGTTGAAGGACAAATCAAGAAAGTTGAGGTTCTTTAATAGGCCAATCTCGGATGGGATGTTGCCCGAGAGATGGTTGTATGCAAGGCGGAGGCGTTTAAGGCTTTTCGCCTTGGATAGGCTCGATGGAACAGTGCCCGAGAAACTATTGTTTGTCAGGTCTAAAAGGGTTAGAAAATCTGAAGTGGAAAGTGGGGAGATGTTTCCAGTTAGCCTGTTGTTCGAAAAGTTTACGATGCTGAGGTTTCTGAGGCTTTGAAACGAGCCGGGGAGTGGGCCTTCGAGCGAATTGTTGTAGAGGCTAAAGAGGAAAAGATCTGATAAGAATCTTAGTGTTGCAGGAAGGGGTCCTGAGAGCTTGTTGTCAGCTAAGCTTAGTCTTTGAAGCTTCTTGCAGTACCCTAAGCTTGGTGGGATTTGGCCTGATAGGTCATTCTGTCTTAACTGGAGAAGCTGGAGATTCTTTAGCCTCCCAATCGTTGCGGGAATGGAGCCCGAGAGGTGGTTCCCGAAGAAATCGATCTCTTGTAAGCTCGAGCAGTTCGTCAGCTCCCACGGAATACTCCCCGAGATTTGGTTGTCGTAGAGGTACAAGGTTTCGAGGCTCTGGAGCTTCCCGAACTCGCTAGGGATCCCTCCGGTGATCGTGTTCTCGAAGAGATGGAAAGTTACCAAGTTACTCAGGTTTCCAATTTCAGGAGGTATAGTTCCTGTAAACCTGTTGCTGTTGAGCAAGAGATCCGTTAGGCTCCCGAGGTTCCCAAGCTCGGGCGGTAGACCCCCTCCAAAGGCGTTCCCCGAGAGATCGAGCTGCTGGAGAGACGAGCATTTAAGCAGCTCATCGGGGAAGCTCCCCGAGAGATAATTATCGGCCAGGAAGAGCCAGTGCAGGGTCGAGTTCGGGAAACAAAAGTCCTTAGGAACATTTCCTGTCATGGAATTGCCAGAAAGAGAAAGGGCCTCAAGGCTATTGAGGTTTGTGGTGAGAAGGGTAATAGGCCCTGAGAGGTTATTATTTGACAAGTCTAGTGTTTGAAGGTTAGCCAAATAGTTTAACCCGGAAGGGATTTCTCCACCTAACCGGTTTCCCAACAGGTTTAAGTACTTCAAACCCGGGATTCGCCTCAGCTCAACCGGGATTGATCCCGAGAGAGTGTTGTTAGCCAGGTTCAAGATTTGAAGCGATCCGAGCCTCCCAATCGATGGCGGGATCTCCCCGGTCAGACCGTTGTTTGCTGCTACAAACACCTGAAGCTCAGTGCAGGCACTAATGGTTTCTGGGATAACCCCACTTAGACTATTCTCCTGAAGATCAAGAATTTCCAGTTTCTTTAAATCCCCAATCCCAGATGGTATGCTCCCATTAAACTGGCAATAAGAAAGCCCTAAAACCCTCAACTCTGTTAACTCCCCAATGCCTGACAAAATTTGGCCACCCAACATATTATCTCCAATCCTAAGAACTTCCATTTTCTTCAACAAACTCAACCCTGAAGGAATCTCCCCAGTGAGATAATTTGAGAAAAGCAGCAACTCCCTCAGGCTTCCAATCTCCCCGATTTCCCCCGGGATCGAACCCGAGAGAGAATTCATGGAAAGATCAAGAACTTGGAGAGCAGCAAAGTGCTTGAAATCTGCAGATATTTCACCACTTATCCCTGCTGCAGAAAGATTCAGGCCAAGAATGTGAAACTCATCACATGATACTCCACTCCAGGTGCAGAAATCTGTTTGTGGATTCCAGTTTTCGAGAACCCGAAACGGATCAACAAGCTGTGATTTTATTCTCAGGAGCCAATATGCATCAGATGATGATGAATTTTCTGCAGAAACACTGCAGAGTATTAGGGAGATGAGCAGTGGATGAAAAATATGAATTCTTCCCATTCTTTGATATCTGATTGTAGAAATAGTTTCAGAAAAGGAAACCAAAAAAGGATTCTTTAGTTACATGGCTTGGAAATATTTGAAGAGAGATTGCAGGAAAGATGAGAATTGATATGGTGTCAGTATGTATGATATAAACTTGCGAGTTTATATAGTTTTATTTAAATATATTTTAAAATAATAGTTAATTCCAAAAATGGTGCTTTAGTATTTATATTTATTAATTTTTATTATCCATTTTCAATTGGACCATAAATGGTTCTTTAACAATTGACATTTACTAATTTTTATCATTAAGCTTCAATTTGACCATAAATGGTCTCTTAACTATTTATTTTGTTTCAAATTTGGTCCTGCAGTTAAATATCCATTTAGTAAACATTAAATTTAAGGATAATAATGTAAAAATTGGCTTGTTGTTGAGATGGCAAATTGGATTTGTAATCAACTAAGAGTTAATTTATCAAACACTTTTCTACGATCAGCTAATGCTATCAACTAGTCAAACACACTAATCCAATCATCTAACTATTTACCAAACACCCCCTTAATGTTTACTAAATGAATATTAACTGGAGAACCAAATTTAGAACAAAATCAATAGTCAGGAGATTATTTATAGTCAAATTGAAAGTCGAAGATGAAAATTGGTAAAAGTTAATAGTTAATTAACCATTTATGGTTCAATTGAAAATCAAGAATAAAAATTGATAAATGTGAATAGTTAATGAATCATTTATAAAGTTAAGTTATGGATTGTATTTTTTTTTTCTCATTTTATTCCATCATGATCTCTATTGAAAAAGTATATAAGATTCTTTTTCTTAAATGCAATCATAGAAATATGGAGGATGTTTGGGTAACCTAGTAGCTATCGAGATGATGAAGTATATGAAGATAAGATCGTGTAAAGTGTCTATGTTAGAAACTTAGAAAAGTGGAGTTTTTCTCATTATTGTTACATCAATTCGTCATTTCTCTATTTTAATACTTATTAACCCATTAAAAAAACATTTATTTTTATTTAAAATTATTATTCACCTCTCACGTGAAATGGTCTCATCATACAAAATTAATTACATGAAAGTAATATGACTCGAACAATTAATAACTCCAATCTAATCCCATTGCCATAGACGTTCCAATTTTTTCATATTGGTCAATTTGAAAATTTTTTTGCACTCAATTTATGCATATAACACTATATATAAAGTGTTGGCCTGTGGCAAACGTTAATGAAGAGCCAAGTTCAAAACCACGCGGCTAGGATCGGAGATTGTCGGGTGGAGGTCTAAAGGGTCAAGTCTAGATGTTTAATACCCTGCTTTATCGAAAATGTGGTAGCGGTATAAGAAAATAAAGTTACACTTTCAATACGAGATATAATTTTTGGTGTAAACGCTTGATCCTAACAAGCAATATCAGAGCCAAATCACAAGTTTAAGTCCCAACATAATAATAAATGTTTCATTCTAACATAAAGTTTTTTTTTTTTTTTTTTTTTTTTTTAAGTTTTTAAGGCCCACAATGTTGATAATGTTGTGGAAAGGTCAAATTAAATTATAATTTATAGCGTTATTTTAAACTTTTATTATTTTATAATGGTTAATGTAATATAGTATTCAAACTACAAAAATTTGGGAACAACCCTGCCAAATTCATCGGGATGTTAATTTAGTAATCACAAAGCTACAAGTAGGGATGACAATTTGTCCCGTTCCCGACGGGATCCTGATGAAAAATTTTTAGGAATAGGGACGGGGACGGGGATACCCCTCCTCGCCCCGTCCGGAATGATAATAATAATAATAATAATAATAATAATAATAATAATAATAATAATAATAATAATAATAATAATAATAATAATAATAATAATATTGTTGTTGTTGTTGTTGTTGTTGTTGTTGTTATTATTATTATTATTATTATTATTATTATTATTATTATTACTATTATTTATATAAATATATTAATTTTTAAATTAAGACTTAGGTTTTTAGTTTTTAAAATTAAAAATTATACTAATTTAAGATTTTGACTAAGAGTTGACCGTGTGAGAATCTCAGTCTCTTGCTTTCCCGCCGGGGACGGGGAGTATACTTCCCGTCCCATTGTCATCCCTAGTTACAAGCTTGATTCCCAGCATGGTCGGTCTATTAGCCTTCTTGATTTGAATCGATTAACTATGATTGTGTACTATCATATAATGATTGCGTGTATCCCTCGTTAAAAAATAAATTAAAAAAAAAAAAAACTTTATGTGGGAAGAATAAGAATGTTATGAGAATGGATTAGGATGTATTGCGGCTTGAGTTGTGATGTTGTCAAATAAGGTTAACCATTTGTCAACTAATAATGGGTGTAAACCCACTATATATGTTCTTCTTGTCAAACAGGCATATTGCATATATGTACAATGAACCAAAGCATATGTTGCAGCACCAACCCCATCGCTATCCAACTTTTGCAGACCAGCGCAAATTATATAGTTCCAAGAATATAATACAATTATTTTGTCATTCTTTTAATGTGAAAATCGTTTATAAATACGTGACGCAATTATTGTTTGACCGAAAGAATCCGTTTTTTTTTTAAAGAAATATTTTATGTTTATATTTTTAAATAGAATAATTAATTTGACATTGAAAAGGAAAATTTTTAAAAATAACCCAATTTCGAATTAGTCAAAACTCAACGTAACTATTTGATATTATGAATTTTTAATTTTAGTATCAAAACAAAATTAAGACACATAAGCTAAGTGATAACATGATTGATGAGACGATTGTCCTAAAACAAAAAATGTCTACCACAAAGTTTCTATGTTTAAACCCATAGTCAACATAATCGGTATAAACTCATTATGTTATTTGATATGTAAACCACAAGAAGAGCATAAAAGATGCATTTGTAGCACCACATACTTATCCAACTTAGTGTTAGACTTAAATTGTCTTAATTAAAAAAATGAAAAATTGTAATAATAATTAAAATAAATTAGAAAATAGCCACTTAACATGCCATTTTAAGCTATTTTTCCAACAATCCCTCACATGAATGAAAAATTGATTTTCAGGGTATTTTGAAATCGGAAACAACTATGTTCAAACGGTCGATCCCTGCATAGGATAGGTAGGGAGTCACTATACCCTTTGAACCTTCTCTTGTGAATACATGTTTACTCTACTGGCTGTACGGTAGAACGCGATGTCTTTGAACCGACTGTTGTTTGTGTAGACGATGACATATCTCACACAGGAACCTCTCACCATGCTCTGTTCTCACGAGTGTGCCCGTTTTGGTCGTGGGTCACCGTTCCTGGTTTTGCGAGAGTTTCTAAAGAATTGTGCCCGACAATTCTTCTTTGAAGCGACCCTCACTTCTCTCTTACATAGGTGATTCTTTCTCGAGTATCCCGCATACTCACATATGTCAACCGGCATTCGAATCATTAAAGCATTAACATGCTAGCCTCGTGCGGGAGTCACTGTTTCAACGAGGAGTGGTAGGGAGTCCGAGACCCCCAAAGTGACACGCTCCGTTCCATAATTTAGTTGTCCCATTGAACCTAGGTGCCAGCTAGGTTGGGTATCCACTATAGAACTTTTTAGTCCAAGGGCTTTAAACTCATTCCTCGTGTCAACTTCTCCACAACTTCTTTGCCTAACCCTTTGGTCAGCGGATCCGCTATATTGTCTTTTGAATTTACGTAGTCAATCGAGACAACACCAGTTGTGAGCAGTTGTCTAATGGTATTATGTCTACGACGCACATGTCTAGACTTACCATTATACATATGACTCTATACTCTCCCAATTGTGGCTATTTTTCCCTACCAAACAATATAATTTGAATTCCAATCTTATTCTTTTCCCACCGAATTACAATTCATTTTCTCTCTAATTCCCTCCTCCTAACCGAACGTACTATTATGAAAGAATGAATTCCATTTTTGGTCTTATTGTTATAGGAGCGTTTCCAATTTTAGTCCACATTAATTTTTTTTGCCACTTTATAACCACTATTATTGAATGTGTTCCACTTTTAGTCCCACCGTTAGTATTTCCATCAAGAGTCCGTGTAATCTAGGGGTATTTTGACCTTTCTTCTCATCCAAGATTATGTTTAACTAAAGAAATGAGAACATTAAACCTAAAACCTAAGAAACCTCGCCGGCCCATGTTGGAACGAACGAAACGATGTAGCTTTGGCTTCCCATTCTCGTTGTTCGAAGAGCCATCTTCGAATATCGGAGGAGGAGGACGAAGCGCCTGGATTAAAAGAGAAGAGACAAACATAAAAAGACCAAAATACCCTTTGATTATACAGCCTCTTGACGGAAATATTAACGGTGGACTAAAAGTGGAACACATTCAATAATAGTGGTTGTAAAGTGGCAAAAAAAATTAAAGTGGACGAAAATTAGAAATGCCCCTATAACAGTATGACCAAAAATGGAATTCACTCATTATGAAAGGATAGATAAATTTAATTGCATGCCCATAGCTAAGACAATAAGCATAAGTAACAAAACTTTACAATTATCATTAATATCATAAATTAGGCTCCAAACTTCACAACTAGTAATAACCAATTCAATCAAACAATTATTATTATTATTATTATTATTATTATTATTATTATTATTATTATTATTATTATTATTATTATTGTTGTTGTTGTTGTTGTTGTTGTTATTGTTGTTGTTGTTGTTGTTGTTGCTGTTGTACGTTGTTATTATTATTATTATTATTATTATTATTATTATTATTATTATTATTATTATTATTATTATTATTATTATTTGTTAGATTGTTAGATTAAGCACTTGCAACTATGCAAGCATGCAACATGGCTAGGGATTGCCTCAATGTATTTTAGTATTTTTCTTCTAGTGTTTGGTGAGGCAGTATATTTACATTTTTAATAATCTATTGTATGTCCAATAAAAAGTATACACCTTTTGTATTAAATATTTAGTGTTTTTAACCTTTCTCATTTTGTACTAGTTCTGCCTTTTCAACAACTGTGAATGGGAATTCACAAAAACAATGGGATTCCCTTCAACCAAATCCCACCTAATCCCAAATTTAAAACTAGAAGAAAACAGAA